TTTTAAAAGAAAGGAATGGTCATTCTATGCTTGCTTGTTATTCATCATGTATATTAGATCTAGATCTAATACGGATATATCGAGACCACGGTACAGGACAGGTTAAAAATCCTTCCCGATTTTCCATTTCTCCTAGAATCTAGGCTACGGACAAGTCTTGGCCCAAGTAAGCGAAAAGAAGAAAAAGTCTGAACTGAATTGAGAAGACAGCATAGCTACAGTACACGTTAGAAACAAATCTAGATACCTCCACCATATCTCCCCCTCTTTTCACTGGTCTGGTAAACTTCACCCGCGCCTCTATCGTCTCTAATTAGTCTCATGGTACCTCTTAAGCCTAGCCTAGGCTGGCAATGTGGGTCCACTATAAAGTAAAGTTCTTGGGCAGAGCAAACTATAAAATGTTCCTGGTCCACTTTTCTGTTTATTATAAATGATTTGCATGTGGCAGCCCCCCCCTCCCCGACTGTCGAATACTAGATCTATAAGTATCCTAATAACTTAAACTTAAATGCAGAAGGTGCGGTCCACCAAAAATTAACGTACTACGACTAATACAGAAAACCAGGAATCTGCTGGTCCATCCTCCTCTTCTGGTCTCTCTCCGCTGCCTCCCCCTCAAAAGAAAAGGAGCAAAAAATAAGCCTACGACATGTAATCAAGAAAATCAGGAACCTGCTGGTCAATCATCCACTTCTGGTCTCCCTCCACTGCCTCCCCCTAAAAAGAAACAGCTGCTGGGATCAAGTAATACTAATATAATAGTGAGAACCCTGCGCCTGTTCCTGCGGTAAACATCCTCATCCGACGCCTAGATATTTCGGACTTCGATCTCTTCAGTGATTCGGATAATAAAATGCAGGTCCGTTTACAACTTTGTCTCGTCCCCCCTTCTCTCTCTATCTCTCTCTCGTGGTATTCTCGCAGCTAGTACTACTCGCAGCCCTCACTCACTCCGCCTCGCGTCGCCGGGAACTATTTCGCGTAGCGGTCGATTAGGACCCATGAATGTATAGGCCAAAGTATAAGTCCGTTGTTTGCCTAGTGCGCATTAATACATATAAACACGGCGGGTCCACCAAAGTTCAATCAACTCTCTGGTTCAATCCAGCCCCTAAGATCTTTGTCCTTGCGCGATGAGGGGAAAAAATGAGGAAATGGTAGGCCCGATTTCCATCCTTCTTTTGAAACACCCTGTGCGAATATAACTTCATAGTATTCGCACACCCTGTGCGAATAACATTTCATAGTATTCACACACCCTGTGCGAATAACTACAGCCTATTCAGAAAGAGACAGAGAGCAACAAATCTCGAGAACGGAAACGGTTCGGAGAAATAGAGCCGGCCTTTTTTAAAATTTGGTACCTAAGAAAGAGTTTGCTATTCTAAGAATTAGATCTATGCTTTTTGAATTTTAAGAATCGGTTCATAAATAAAATGGGGTTGTAAAGGTCAGCAAAATATGAATGACCCACATATAGAAAAATACTCCTAGAAGTGGACCACACAGTAACAGATTTTGTAAGAAAATCGACAATATCTCAGTAATTAATTGGAGTGTTCGACAGAAACTTGGCTACCAAATGTATTTTTGGGTAGAGAAATCATTTCTGCAATCAGATTTACTAGCCATTTCATAGTTATTTTGTTATAATTAAAACTTATGTGTGCATATTTCGATTTTGCGAGAAAGGGGTGTCGAGATGAGAGCGTTTTTTTATAGCATCGTATCACAACATGGAATCTTTAAGAATATGTTGGCAGCGTGACTAAATAATGGTAAAGCTTTCTTTGATAACTTTAGACCATGCCAATCATAAATTATAATTTAATTCATTCTAGCATGCCGCTCAATTAACTCTTGCCCTGTGTCTCTGCTGAGATGCGAAACTTATCAGCAACCGATTACGTCGGACGTTCGGGGCAGGCTGCCGGGGTCACTCAGTGTGTACTGTTGGTGTACAGCGCGCGTGCGCCAGGAAACATGTGTTTTGGCCATGAATACCGTGGGAGTGTGTTAATCGACGATGAATATAACGCTGTATCTTTCATAGCTTTCTATTTATAAAGTGCTACAAACACGTGAATAACCCCTTCTCAGAAGCTGATAAGACATTACGAGTAGTTTTGCCCATTCGAATAACCTTTCTATACGCTCTTGTTATGAATGACCTGGGGTTCAAAGGGGATAATATAGGTCAATTTCCGAATGTTTTGCACTCAAATTGTTCTTTGTACCTGCACAATGGTATAACAAAATTATCAAATAAGCTTATTTTTTATCAGGTAGTATTATTTCATACAAAATCAAGCTCATTTGAAAGATTTTGTATAGAAAAATGGAAGTCTTGTTTCCTGACTATCCTTTTGAGCTCCTCATGTCTAAATGGGTCAATTTGCTCTATAATTTCATTGGACGAACATCTAGAGCTACCAACTTGGCGTGTTTTGAATGTTCATCAAATGATAACACCCTACTTGTGGCACCAGTAAAATCTACAAATCATGTGGAGTGAGATCTTTCTCATATCTTGGTCCATTTATGTGGAACAGATTACCCATGGAACTAAGACAAACTAGAACACTTGATAGCTTCAAAAGACATCTTAAGCATTTTCTGTTCCTACAGGCCTATCCTTCATAAGCTTTTAACGTTATTTTTATTATAGTTGTTCTGTGCCTACGTCTGAATGAAAATAGTCCGTGTGTGTGAGCATAAATATATATTGCATGAGAAGAAAGGAAGTAGTAAGAAAGGTTTTGAAAATGGGTATATTCCAATGGAAAGCGCATTGAGCTACTTTTTTGGGAAATGCGCTATATAAATGTTAAATAATATCATTTATATTAAATCAGGCGCTCGTCAAAATAATGAAGTACAAGAAACCAGCATTTTTCTGCCAGTTTGGAAATTTTTCTCGAATTTTTGTTTTTTGGCCCAGCACCTTCTATGGCCATTAAAAAACACATTTCTATATATGGATTTAACTGGAAAACGTCGATTAAAGGCACAAAAATTGAAGATTTTTAGTTTCCATGGACTCGCGAGCTTTGGAAGTCACTAAACTTTGGTGGCCATTTTATTGCTAATTTTACCTCTGAAACCAGGCTACCCCCACCTCTTCAATCGCAAATATCTCAACTTGTCTTCAAGTTAGATGGGTATTTTTTCCATCCAAAGCCAGGCAAATGAATAAGCTTTATGCTAATACCAATAACTTCACATGCCCCAAAATTGACGGGCGCCTGATTCCACTGCGTCATGACACATACAATGTTTCACATGATCCTCGGTCGTGGCAAGCGGAAAAATAATGAACGAGGGGTATGAAATAAGGGTGGGGGGGAGGGGGGTGCAAAATGCTGAAAATCAATAGGGGGGTGGGGTGGGGACACACCTATATTCGATACCTAAGAGTAGGCTTCAACATTAATTAATCACTATATTATATTGTATTTCAAAAGAAAAGACGAAGAAGTGAGAAGTGACTGCCTCGCATGGCTTGTGGACCCGTGGAAGTGGAAGATATCACTTGCTTGATTTTTCTATTTTTTTAGGCAATGAAAGTGTGATGAGTGAAAATGACAGCGGGGGCATCAATGATATTCATCGTGGGATACTCTTCTCAAATTATAAGGGTGCATGCTTCACAGACATGCTGAATTTAGGCTTTTAAACCTTCCACTCCTTTGCTGCCACCATAACAACAAAGCAATCTTCTGTCTTCTTGAAATCCATCTTGTTTTTCAAAAACGTGCAGAATGTAACACTATGGCTCTACGGTCACTTTTTGTGGTGTGACATTGTGGCATTGTGTAATCTGAAATGTGTGCTGTGAGTACTGTGAAGCGTAAAGTTCTACTCTAGCCTTTAGAAGACAAGGCTAAGAAATTTATAGTATAGCTTGTCCAACAAAAAGACATAGTTTTTTTGTGTGAATAGCCTTTGATTTTTTTCACTTAAAGTTAGAGTCTTGAGATTTGAAATGTGTGACAATCCTGATTTGTCTTTCTGAGAAATATTTTTGTCAAGGAAGGTACGGTTAGACTGGCAGGCTAGCTGTACTTATTGACGGTTAGGTTAGCCGTGCTTAATAATGATGGCAAGACTGACAAAAAGAAAAAAATACTGAATTGTAGATCTAAATAAAGTTTTAGTTTGCAATACCTAAAGTATTTGTATTTGAGACAAAACCAGAAGGCGTCTTAATGACATGCATGTATTTTAAACCTGAGTAATTACTAATGAGACCTGTGTACTCAACAGGGTTTGGTCAATAGGGCTTAACCTAAGTACGGCTAGACTAGTATTTAGTAATGATGGCTATACTGACAACAAGCTCAAAATACTTAAAATTTTAGTCAGCAATACCTAAAGTGTGTTTCAGACCTATGCCTTACTGACATGCATGTATTTTAAACCTGAATAATTACTAGTGGCTAGCCACTTACTTCGTTTTTTCATTGTTAAGTTGATGTAATTGGGTACTTCTCTCCGACACTGGGTGGTCTTTTTCTGTGCGTCCATTCAGGTTGAAAATAAATGTATGCATAAGTACTGTACAGTTCTGGTATATTGCTTCATTTTAGTTTTTATTTTACTTTCTTTTAGTGCAAACGGGCAAAATTCATTCACTATTATAATAATTGGAAATTTCGCTGAAATTTTACTTTCACTCTCACATGCAGATGCACTGCTTTTGGACACTACTAAACTGCTGTATTTTTTGCTGCAGAACACGCATCATCTGCTAAATCCATCCCGAATCGTTTTTAAGAAAATATCGAAGCAACTGCTAATCATCAAATTTTGGTGAAATACAGGTGCAAGCACTCCTGAAACACCCCTAGATTTCCCTTTCACTACCACACCATGACTTTCCATAACGAGTCACCAGTTTGCTCTTTGATGCTAGTGTAGATTCCTTTTATATGTAGACAAAGATCATTGTTTATAGTATTCATTGTCTTTTAATTGTTTCATATCTCTTTTTCCAGAATGGCTATCAGCCAGTCCCTACAAAACCCTTGGCCTACAAAGCTCTGAAGAAAACCTCAGAATTGCAAAAAAAGATAGGCAAGTAGCTGACATGGAGTTGGACAGACAATCATGACGGATTTAAATGAATGTTACAGGTGGTTTGGGGGTGCGGGGTGGGGAGGAGTGTTCTGAAAGTATTGAACAGAAACTTTATTTGACGTCTCTCAATGAATAATTATGGAGATTGCACAAACAAGCTTTGTGTGCATATTGTAATGAAATGTTTAATTTTGTTGCTGTTTCATGTCTTTCTCTTTTTGTAAAAGGATACTGTTTGTAGGGTAGATCTGTGTTCTGAAACAATGATTATTTTAAAATTATTTTATTGCTATCATGAACTTTTGATCATATGGTTTTGAATTGTGGATTTGTATTACTAATAATTTGTGGACATCGTCTCACTGCCTCTATGCTTTGTTTCTCTTCTCAGAGAGACAGAGAGACATGGCGAGAAGATCCAATTCTGTCCCGATTGATCAACAGCCGAAGAAAACCAGTTTTGTTTCTCGATCTAGGTATGTTGAGTTCTGTGATATCTTTTTTCCTTATCATTAATATTTTCCCAACAGATTCACCAATGTATGTGTTGACAGGGTGACTGCCAGGCCCCGGAAATCCCCCGGGAATTTGAAAAAAATTGCCGAGACCCGGGATTGCCCTGGGAATTTGAGAAAATCTGTAAATTGCCTCAGGAAAGACCTGGGAAAATACATAAATGCTCTCGAACATTTGAAAACCAAATCAGATAATGTCCTTGGGTTTATTTTTGCCGGTCGCGATTGTGATATTCTTTCGGCTTTTCCCAGTCCAGGGCTCTCAGACTTCCGCAGATCCGCGAATTTCCGTAGTTCGCGGTTCGGAGAAAGTTCGGGGATGAGATTAGCGGCCGCGGAATCGCTGAGCATCGCGTGGTCATGTTTCCGTCACGCTTCGCGTCTGCACGGGTTTCATAATTTTCTTCTCCGAGAAAAAAATGCGAAAATTTGGAGAACATAATAATAGAGTGGTGTATGCCAGTTTGGCACTAACCGCCCACCTTTACTTCCTGTTCACAACTCTACTACTTACTTTGCCTTTCCGTTTTTTATCGAAATCGGTTGACTTTCACAATTTATGCGAATACATGTATCTGGCAACATTTTCTTTTCCCAAACATTCGGTCTGTCTGTGTTGGAAGGAAAGAGAGAACAAAGAAGCCTGGAAAATGGCATTTCACGTTCTCTCAAAGAGTGAAGAGGCCATTGTGAAAGAAATAGACAAAGATTGCAAGAATAAGTGGAAGTATCAGTGGTTAGAAGATGTGGTGAATGTGACAATCAATGGAGTAGATTTCCAAGCAAAGGTAGGCGATAGCATTGCCAAGATAAACGTCAGTGGAAAAGCCTTATCAAGTGGTGCAATTTGTTACTTAAAAAGGAAAGGGTGCGAGTACATTGAAAGAACATCTGAGAACAGAGGCACACATCGCGCAGATCAAGACTCGGCAGTCGAATTACAGCCTTGGGAGCTTTGTCAACCCATCCAAAATGGTTTTCCCAATTTTCAGATCCCCTATATTTGTGTTTTTGTTTTGTGCCATTGTCTGCATATCGCGATCCTCCGACAAAGTTCAGGGGTTGGGAAAATTTTTCACTGGGAGCTCTGCCAGTCTGAGAGTACGTTTCACGCGAACAGGCTGCTATGGCGGCAAGCGGAAATATATGTGTGATACCGAAGCTCGATCTACTTTCGCTTTCGTTACCACCCAGAAATTTGCCGGTAGCAGTCTGATTAATGCAACATTGTAACCTGCATTACAAACGCTGTGTCGCCATGAAAATAAATCAATATTTGTCCTGTGCTGTCACTTGCGGAAAAAAAAAGAAAGTTATACAAGCGTCTTGTCGCGCCATCGTGACTGGTCAGTGAACCTGTGCGTTCGCATCACACTGTGAGTACTGGTGATTGTTGGGGTCACCAAAGTTCATTCAAAGTCTGAGCGCTGCAAAGTATAGGGCTCCGAAATAGGGGGATTGTTGATTTTTAAAAAAGATACAGTAGTCGGTGAGGGGTGGGGTTGAAGGCAACTCCAGATGACAAAAACTGAACTTGAAAGCAAAATTTAGTATTTAGAATTTTGATTATTACTAGTGCTTTCTGCAAAGCGCACAATGGTGCAGGCCTTGTGAGGAATCGGGATCGGTCATACTCATACCTTGTAAGCCGTATTTTTTAATCAAAAGGTTCACGTTTCATTGGATGAGTGATAGTACGTTTGTTTCATTGTCTTTGTCTTTTTTTAGAGTAGTGTGACCTCACCAAGTGAATACTTTTTTCTTCTCTCTCTCTCTCTCTCTCTCTCTCTCTCTCTCTCTCTCTCTCTCTCTCTCTCTCTCTCTCTCTCTCTCTTTCTCTGTCTTTTCTGTCTCTCATTCTCTCTCTCTCATGATAGTAAATTACATGTATATCTGATCTATATTTTAGATTTCTTTTCAAGATTCGCAGATTTTCAGTGTCACTGCATCTTGCCCTCCCACAGTTCTTACACCTCTCACACTGAATAGGTCTACTTCAGCAGTTCAAGTTATTACTCTACTTTGAGTTACAGCTGTAATTTTTTGTTTTTCATGTTTATTATATAAATCTTGACTCCCAAGCTGGTTTTTGACAGTCGATATTCTGGTTCTAGGCCTATTGTTAGGCTCAAAGCAAGAATATTTTTTATATAGTTTGTATAGAGGCAATTTTTATGAGAGGAAAATATAAGTAAGTAAGAACAGACTGAAATACATAGGTCACACAGTATCCCAGTGCCACGCTGACATGTTGTTGATTGATTATAGTGTACTTACATGTGTGTGTGTGTGTGCATGTATAAATGGAGCACGCGCTGTCATTGTTATGTAACATGCCCCTTGAAAATTGAAAAGCCGGGTTGGCAGTCACCCTGTGTTAAGATTTTTTTTCATCAATGCTGTGGCTGTACATTGTAAACAAAACTTAGATTGAAAGAGAGGTCTACAGTTACAAACAGAAAGGCATTTTAAAAAAAATGATAGCATGGCTTATATATTATATTTATGCTCTTGATGAAAAAAATGTTTTTCCTGTAGAAACGATGTAATGAAAAGAAAGGTAAATTTGATGTACATATCGGTGAAGATAATAACAAGGTGCAGAATAGTAGGCCTATTGAGAAAAATTACGAATGCATGGTTATCGTAGTGAAAAGTGTTAAATTATAGTTTTAGTTATATTCTTTATTCTTTTCCTCTTCATTTTTACCTCTCTTCTCCTTCCTGATTGTTTGATTTTCGGCACCTCATGTTTTTTTTTTTATTGTCTTTCTTTTTTAGACTCACAGTGCCAAGTAGTAACAGCAGAGTGACCCAGAAAGATATAGATATGGATGGTTCCTCTGCTGATCAGCAGCCCTTAGTGGCGATAATGTCTGATGACAGGTGATACTTTTGTCTTTGCTTTGCATAGTTGTTTTAGTCTATTGGCATGTAAAAATGCTGATGAAATTGAGCTGTTGAAAAAAAAAGAAAGTATTAAGATATCTATTTAAAATGTCTTACTTATTTTGCAAAAGTATGTTAAATGGTTCCTTTGCATGCTTCCAACTTTGGTACTACAAAGGCCTGTAATTATTGAATACCGTATACACCTCCCGCCCACAGTTTGAAATCATTTAGGAGGCCCCATTCTTTGACCCTGCCTTTTCTGGTTAATCTGGACTGAGAGGGATCAATGTTCTAGGAGATAGAGCACAGCGCAGAATCAGTGGTCGTTTAGTTTCGCCAGGCCGTACGCTGCTAAGTCAGCGTGACCAGGGTCAGCTGCCGGTCAGTCTACCTGTCCTGCGATCACTCCACGCGCGGGGTTACATACCACGGCAATTTTACACATTTTGTATCAACGCTCACAAATGAAAGCAGGGCTATCAATATACACATTGTGTTCCATCTTCAATGTACAGTTTGTGAAAACGCAACGAAGATATCTAGGATATTTTTTAAACTGCATGTGATCAAATACAGCCGTCTTATATCACGGCTCGAGTTACCCCCCAGCGCTGGACAGCGAGCCGTTTTTCACGGCTGTCCACTTTCTGCCTCAAAGCTGCACCTACTTTCGCTATTATCGAATCTGAAATCTCAGGCTGAAAAATGATCATTTTTAGCAACATGTTGAGATAGGTCATTATTTCCCCTTTATTTCCGTATTTATAATACATGTGGCTAATATTGAAAATTGAACAAAAAAATCTTTAATTTGTCCGACGGTAGGCAGAGTAAAAAAGTAATTCACAGATGGGGCCCGGTCCAGGTGAGGAAAACCCCCCTGGTAGTGAAAGAGTTATGGTAATATACACTGAATTATTAGTTATGTCAGAGGAATGTGGTGTGTTTGAACTAGAGGGTCTGGTTGTTGGGTCATATGTGGAGGTTGTTTGACTGGCTGTGACAGGGCTGTATTGTGAGTGGAGACTAGGGCTGGTGCAGGGAGAGTCACCAGCAACTGTTGCGGCAGGCTCCTTTGCTGATTTCAAGCAGCCATTTGATAAACTGACAAGATGATGGCAAACCCTGCAATCTTTTATCGTAGTTTGATTGTCGAATGTACACCCTATGTGTTGGCTGTTTCTGATCAGATCTCGCGCTTTTTTAAGGGCGGATGGGATGGTATTCTTCTTAGTATCATAGATCCTCGTGTGGCATTTGTGGCAAAAAGACTTCGAATATTTGTCATCTGTGTCTTCTCTAATGTCAATATCATAAATTAATAAAATACCACTTTGCAATGACTTGCATGTCTTAGCCTTTCTTTTCAGCCTCCGTTGTACTTTAGTCACGTTCTTACTTACACCCACAAACGCAACAAAGTTCATTCAAGGAGGAGGAATGTCTCTCATGTGTGTGTTCCATTGGGAGATTTCAGTAAACCTGTTAGAGATGAATCACGTGCAAATGGATTCTACCTAATATCGTAACACGGCTCTATCAACAAAGATGAAATTTTTACACATTAAGCACAAATATGTCTGTCTTTCATAGAAACAACAATCTATGAAATTAACAGAGAACTGTTGAACTTAATATAGCATAGAATCCAGAATACACAGTTGCATGCGCCAAATAACAAGGCACTGGATGAGAATCAGATGTAAGCGACTTAATAATATTGCAATAACTATTCTTCAAACAATGATGAAAATTATGCATGTAAAGCACAAACATGTCATCAGTGCATGTACCAAAATTTGTTGAGATTGAACTGGAACTTTGGAAATTAAAAGTGAATTAAGTGCAGCACACACAGATTAATATAGATGAAATTCAGAACATTTTGCACACACTGTAACATCGGCAAATATGGTCGCATTAAGATCGGGTTTTCGCAGATTAAGAGGGGGAATCTTGCTCTTTTCTTTTTGTATGGAATAATTTGTGGTTAGAGTGAGGTTACTGCCGATAATTAGTGTCAAAAGTGTTAATTACTCCATGACCTGCCCGCCTGCAACTGATGCGAAACGTAGCGGCCAGTGACCCCCCGCATAACCCGGCATGGAGCAGTTCCGACGGTGATTTAATGACTTCCAGATGTTGCTGGCCTGGGAAACTAAGAGGCACGATTTCGGCCAGTTTTTGCCGCTGTGAGAGATACTTGACAAAAAATTCTCATACAGGGGAATAGAACTCATGCCTTCTGATTGCAACATTGAAGTGCCTGACCACCACACCACAGGTGATGGCTGAAAACTGTGTCAGAGCTCTGAATCATATCGCTGTCAAGCTGTTCAATTGTTCCGAACCCAAAATTTTGAAAATTGTTGAATTGCTGTTTCTTAACCCTATCCGTATGTCTGGGATCGTTTTGTACTCCAGGGGTTGTGTTCTTCACTTTTTAGAATACATCTAGTGCTAAGGTCTCTTTGAAACTTTCAGTATAACGCAAAAAATCATTTTGACAGAGCTATGCAAAGCGTAGGGATCGGATTAACGAGTAAATTTCCTCTTTGGAAAGTGGGGGCACAGAGTTCCTCACGTCGTATGGATACGAAAGTAAAACACGACGCACGGATAGGGTTAATCTGTGGTATCAATTTCTTGTGCTCGAGGAATATTATGTCAAAATATAATATTCAAATTCTAAATGTTAAAATGCTGGTACTATTAGTAATTTTTATCGGGGGGGGGGGGGGGGGGGTGTTAAATCCACTATGCTGGGGCTCTCTTTTGGTACAAAATCTAAAAGTGACATATACAGTCAAACCTCATACTGTCTACCTTAAGATGAGCATAAAGTTAGCGGTACAGTGGGGCTGGAGGTATAATGGGATACCAATACCACCAGTGTTGCCATTTTGACTTTTGGCAGACTGGAAAAGGCCAGAGACTAGAGACAAACTGTGGCTAGTCTTGCCTCATCTAAATCTGCCTTGCAGGATTGCCATACCCATGGAAAAATAAACAAACAAGCAACCAATTACACGTAAATCTCCAGCTTTAATTCAAATTAAAAAGAAGTTAGGGTCAGAAGCTAGGCTATATATATGTGTGTAAGCTCCGCAGATGTACTGTTAAAAAAAAAAAGATTCTTGTCAGTCCTCGGGCCACCTTAGACCTGTCAATATGTTATAAAGTTGGCCCTGGTATTGTGGTCCTGTCTAGTTAATTGTTTTTCTGTTCATATACCTTGAAATGAGTAAAAACAAATTCAGAACAAACTGGTTTGAACATGGCAATAAATCTTAGTCATGTTGAATTCTTCAACAGTTTGTGTAAGTATATGTATATGTTCTGGGATACCTAAGCAGTGATGTTTTATTTTTTTATCTTTTAGTCCTTTTGTCCTGGGATATTCTTCTTAGCTACAACGAATGTTCCTTCTTCTTTTATGTTTGTATTGAACAGAGCAAACTGTGTACCCTTGACATGTGGTTTTTAGGGTATCCATAACTCACCTTCTTCTGAGGCAGTAGAGCAAAAAGACTCATTTTGTATATATATTAACATTTGTCTGAGTGAAAATACCTACTGTTTATTTATTTTTTTTCAGTGAGGAGGATGAATTTGATATACCAAGACTACCCAAGGCAGCACAAAAGGAAATCACTGAACAGTTAATCAAAGATGGATATAACCTAGACCTAGAACCTGATGATGAGGACTTGGATCTGATACCTCCTCGCCCATTGAATGAGCGATGTACCTGCTGTGGTGTGCCAAGCAATTGCTACGTACAATAGAATGCTGCTGCTGTGTTATTGAAAGTGGCAGAATACATGAAACTGATGAATGATGTTAAAACATTTTTGCACTCATTCCAAATTGTATGCAGTTGATCTGTATATCTATGCGTACAATATGAATATGCCACCTTTTTTCACAGAGGATAAGATTATAATCTGCTGTTTATAATCTGGGAAAAGTGCATGATTGATAAGGAGGACATGTAAAAGTTATTAATATGGAAATGTGGTGTTGGTTTTTTAAGCATAAAGATTGATTATATCTTTCGTACTTCTCTCTCATATTGAATTAATGTTTGTTTTTTAATGAGTTCACTGCTATGTATTGTTTGAAGATGTAGCTGGACTGCATGTTGGATGATATTAAATCTGTTCATAGACTTACGCAAGCATTTAAACATTGCTGTGTTTTCAGTCTAATTTCATTTGTAACAATTATTTGTTTAGCTTTAAGAAAACGACTTCCTCTTGTACTAGTTCAGCCTTGTCGCAAGCAAATGTTTAGATGTGGGTTGTGCCTCTAAAATATAGCACTTTTAAAAAGCCCCAACAGAACCAAAATGTCATAGAGTCGTAGACTGTTCTGCCAAGGGGAAATGAAAGAGAGAAGAACTGCCCTGCAGATTGATTTGGTGTAGGTAGACCCCCGCGATCAGTAAGATGAAAAAAGTTCTTAATCCATCAGCAGTTTTATTCATTTCTATGTTCTTATGGGATTGAAACATGAGGTGTGAGAAAGTAAAGCACATATTCAAGATCTACTCTCTTAAATGAGTTGGGAAAGGATACACCAGGAAGTTATGTTCTGTGGTCTGTAACCATCTGCTGTCCAATATAAAGTTAATTTAGGGTTATGTTGAAATGTTCATTTTCGATTAAAGGTTGTTTCGTGTGGGAGAGTGTCAAAGAAAATGAGAGAGATGGTATTCCTCATACCAATGAAATAACTGCCATATTGAATTACGCAAGATGGGGTGATGGGGAGAAGGTACAATATGACATGGTTAGTTTAATTCTTTATTAAAAAAAAAATAATTTTCAAAATTGTGTTGTTCAGAATGTTTGTATATCTTCTTTGGGTTTGTCCCTACATTAATGTTTGTTCACAGCTGTTATTTTGCTTCACAATTTTTAAAATGCTTCAGATAGCCTATTATTTGGTTAATAGTTATTAATATGATTTGGTCATAGTATCTCAAGTGTAGATGTAATTGTCTGCTTCTTTACAATGTTTTAAGTTCCAGGGTTTTGGTTTTGTGGACCATTGTTTAACAGTCTGGACTAAAAGATAACCGTGTTCTGAAATTTTATGTGTTCAATTTTTAAAAAAATCTCATCACAATGGAAAGATGAATTTATTGTGTCATGTTAGTTCATGTTCCTCTTGTTGAAATTCTTCAGCATTTTGTCCTTCAAAAGTACCATTAATTATAGTTTTGTTTAGGTTATGTGAAAGGTCTGAGCACATAAGAATTCAACTCTTTTTTCGCTTGTTTTGTTTATCTACAAGTGAAATTTTTTGTGAACTAAAAAATTATTGTTCTTCACCATAGTTATGTATTTACATATTCCTACTGTGAGGAGAGGTTGAAAAGACGCCACTGTAAGACAAGAGAACTCTCTGGGATAAAAGCATGCTGCGTTTGTTTAGGTTTCTTTTCCTATGGTTACGGTTTTAAAAATAATGTACAATTCTCTAAAATTAAATTAATTAATGCTATTGAAATATTAACTCTTTAACTCACTGACTACAGGCCACTTTCACCAGTCAATAGCGCTTAGTACTGGCATTTTTGGGGGTATTTCAGAACACCACCACAACTCTCAGAATTACCCTATTGTAATTTTTTTTAATCCAGTAAATTTACATTTAAACTTAATCTATTGCAAAAAAATTTAAGTTGTCTAGATTTAATACTTTAATTCATATGATTTTTAAAAAATTGTCATGAATTTGATTTGTCGAAACATTTCCAGAGACGTGACAGATACAATGAAATTCACAACAACAACAAAAATAAAAGTTCAAAGTGTTCTGTTTTGATTTGTATCCACGTGTGAGTGTTTGGTGAAAATATAAAAGCTAGTCTGTGCATTTATTCAGACCCATACACTGAATTACATTTGAAAGATGTAGGGAACGAAGTTGTGATTTCGTCGCGCGAACTACAACACCAGTATTAGTGCTAGATCTAGCCCTAAAACTGACTCGGGCCGTGTTTGGGTACATATCCAGATCACATCATATCTTGAGTCACTAGAACTAGCAAAACGAACAAAAGTTTCGAAAACAGCGAAATTATGTGATTCTAGTTCATGCGACCGTTACTTTGACAAGACTGTCGGATTACTATCAGCTGTATAGAAAAAAAACATAGAGCGAGTTCCGGTCAGGTCAACCCCAGATGAGGTGACTGTCCTTCACCTTCAATTACTTAAAAAGTTACCGCAAAATTCCGCCAAACTTGGCATAAAACGAAACAAGTGGCTAAACTAGCACTGGAGTCCGTTCCCGTGCATGTGACGGGAGCACAAGATACGGAACAAAATTGCGAATCCCACCCTGTCGGCCGTCCGCCCCATACCTGTGACGGGAACCATAGTCAATTAGGTAAACTTGGAACTGTGCTCTCGGCATTTGTCACGAAATCCTGCAACTATGAAAAAATGCTGTCAGCTTTCATCAGTATTTTTCATTATCTCTACAAATACGAGTTGTGCATTCATGATTCCTATATTTTCAACTTTTGCCTGCATTTAACTTTGATTTGATATATGATATGACTAGATTCCTTTACAACATGGGTGGTTTACATAGGTCATATTGAAGAGTAAAGATTTAATTTAAAAAAAAAAATTCCCAGAGAATGTGTGTTCAAAGAGTTAAGAAAGATAAATTGCTTCTTGATTCGAAATGAATGGAAAAGGGAGGTATTAAAGGGGTACGGGGGTGCTAGGAGGAATGAATCTTGTGGGTGGTCGAGTGGAAAACCACATTCATGTAACTTAATTACTTGTTGTTCCTATGCATTTTTTTTCACTGGCATGAATGTTATAATTATTATATAGATATGGTAGTCTCATTTTTTTTTCAGTTGTTTTGAACTAACTTTTATCTTGCCTCAGATCTGATTCTTCATGTTCATATGAACAATTTACTTATAGAAGGCATTTACTTCTTTTGACAGTCTTCTAATTCTGGGACCTGAAGTGTGGGAATTTGCTTGTAATATATTCCCAGGGGTAACCACTTTGTAAAATGCTTATGTTTACTTCTCAAAAGTTTTTTTGATTACATAAGATAAATAAAAAGTGGGTGCTTATCTTGGTTTCTTCCAGTGGGGCATGGGACAGGTCACCAGAGGTTTCCTCTTGGTCAGGAGAAAAATCTTTGGCAAGTCCACCCCGTAGTATCGGATGAGCTTTGTTCACAAAGGAATGGAGTGGAGAAAAAAAAAGAAATATTTTATGTTTTGTTTTTATCTATTCTTTCCGAGGAACTCAATGTAGGACCTGGCATTGTTATAAAATATAAAACGGATAATGTGTTGATCCTGTGCTTTGTTACTGATGCCACCGTGTGGTGTGAAGACAAGGTATTTGGTTGTCCAGTTATTTGTGCTATCTGTCACTTGCCTTTATAGGATATACCAAAGTTTGATGATGTCAAAGGATGTTCCTCTTCTGTGTATCATATGGCCTTATGAAAAAATGAGTGCGCATAATGTCTAGAAATTGGAAAATCTCTGTATAGATCATTCTGGGTCACAACCATGTCTTTGACCGAGTACCGGTATGGGAATATGTGTCTTTTGAGAGTGGATTGTTTCCAGTGTTATTGTTACATTTTATTAAAGAGATCATTTAATTTTTCAACTTTTAAAATAATTAAAAACAACATATTGTCATTTCCCTGTGCTGAATGCTAATTTTTTTTCTTAAATTTTTAGGTCTGCTTATTTATCACCTATTTTGCTCTACCTGTAATTTAGTATATATAATAATTACACCACATTGTTTTGTACCCATCTGTTGTATTTCACCATAACCTGACTTTTTCTGTTCACAGCTTCTCTGTGATTACATTGTTTGCCTTGCACTGTGTCTCCATTATGGATTATCTGTGCTAATCTCTTGAGAGACATGTGACATATTTTCCTCAATTGCATTTGCATCTTCAAATGTCTACCTTCTTTTTTGTTGCACTCATGTAACCCACGTAGCAATGACCAATTTTGATTGTATCTTTTAGTGATAAAGTGTTGTGGGCAGGGAGATGCTCATAATGATGTCACAGCCAAGTTCTATTTTGGATGGTATGTTTTTGTAAGCAGAATGAATTACCCAGGTACAGGGCATGTGTTGTGTGAAAGAAGGCTTCTGATAGGACGCAAATAAATATACACAATAGGCGGGTAATGATCCATGTATAAGTGCGATCAATGGTCTCTTGGAATAGAGTAGATAGGATTTTTTGCGACTTTGTTCAATCTGAGTTCACTCATTTATGTGCTCGTTGAATCTGAGTTATTTTGTTGACTTAAATGGATAAAAAACCACTGGGAATCTGTCTCATGCTGTTGTTCCTCTAAAGAATGTGAATGCCCGCATTATGACCATTTTGTGAAATACATGGGAGCAAAAAGTAAGGAAAACTTGTATCTCGCTCTTACCTCACCTGGGGACAAATAGGTTTTCGAATGTCCTAATTGCAAAAGTTGGTATTTTTTTGGCCTGTTTTTATAGCTTTGTGTGCGTGAAACTATTCTCAGAGAAATACCGAAGTTCTATTTTGAGTTTAATAGGGTTCTAGAAAACCAGATTGGCAGTTGAGTATGTCACACATCATATTGCAACAATTATTCTCTTTTTAATTCCAATTAACACTCGTTTGTCAATTGTGTATCTTTTTACTTTTACACCCCGAGAATTATAAGATCCCCCTCTCCCCTCCTTCAACAGCATAGTTGCGCCCCTCTTCCTACTCCCCTGACCCTTAAATTATTGTTGTCTGTTATGGAAAGACAGGAAAGCAGAGGTGTAGGCCTACATTGTGTAAGAAGGAGGGAGGGAGGGAGACTAGAGGGTGCCACTGGCAGGTCCTACTTCTTTTTTCTTTCCCTCTGTTATTTCTGTCTGTCTGTTTTGCATTTCCCTGCACTAACACATACAGATCTTCTTCTCTTTGCTCAAACAAACAAAACATCTTATAATATACCTCTCCCCCCCATCCTCCCAACCTGTAACCTCCTATCTGTGCACACTGGAAGCGTCAAGAATGCCATTGCCATTCTTAAAAATGACAAAGCTTCAACCTCCAGGTTTTAATCTCTCAACTATGTTCTTTACATATATTTATTATGTCTTGAATTCATACCTGTAACGTTTCACATTTACATTATTTTTTGAAGTGACAAACATTTTCTAGCCAACAGCAAATAGTCCCCAAAATCTTTTGTCCAATTTCAGCTTCTCAAGCTTAAGTTGTGCGATTCATTATTATATGCTTTAGTATAAGTATCCTTTGCTTTTGGAACTGAAATTATGTGCTTTAAGTAGACAGGAAATATATTTTGTGTTTGTCAACAGTAATATGATTAAACCCTTGATATTTTGTCTCCTGTGGGCAAACTTTATTTGATGTTTTTTGGTTATTTTTTAAAATAAGCCAGGCTTGGGAAAGTTTTCCATTTCTTTGAAGAGAGACAACTATATCTGAGAAATGCAAATATTTGATAAGACAGCAACATTAGTTTTCAAAGTGCATTGTCTGTGTATTCCAGCAACCGGAATGAAAAACAATGATGGCTGTATCTTTACTTGGAAACTGAAATAATCACAAGTCTGTCTTTGAATGAAGTCGGCATTTCTTGCTGTTTATATGAAATTTTGGTGCTGTTCTTGTACTTTTCGAGATGAGACGCGTCTTTTATTGATTAAGTATGGACTTTACTGCACAAAAGCATACCTTTTTTTGAAAGATTTTTATATTATTAATATTAACTTATGATGTAGGAGTGTTAGCACTAACATTCCATGTACTCTTTGACTGTAGTTCATAGCATGTGGGACTTTTTTCCACAGTTCTTTTTTTTATGTTGTACATTCCTTTTGGTTGTCTTTTTGATTGATCCATGAAATCCATATAACAGTGAATACAATGCTTTCAATTCACCGTTTGCCAGTCATGTTTCTAACACTACAATGTGTCCTGGTCAGATGAGAACATTGATAAGAAGTTTACTGTAGTGCAGCGTTGTGATTTAGCAGTGTTTAGCTTGCCACTTTTTCTTGTCTTGATAGTGTCATTACTTTAATTTATTTTAAACTTTAAACATTTGTTAAAAATGCTTGCTGGGGATAAAGCTGACAAAGTTAGATTCCTCTATAGAAAATGTGAAGAGATTATTCATTTATTCATTCCACAAATTGCTCTAATGGGCGCTTGAGTTTTAAAATGAAGGAAAAGAGGAGATTGAGCAGATGTGAAGATTCTCTTTTGAGAATTATAATCGTAATAAATTGCATTTATATAGAGCCTACCCTTTCTTTAACTTATGATTATTACATTTTATTATTACTCCAGCAGGCCTTCTAACATTTCAAAGCATTCTCAGCTTCCAGGAAAGTATTCAGTTCTAGCTGCCATTTTGTAGATCCTCAAACTGAAACAGTAACGTACTGACTAAAAATTTCACTGCCTGCAGTTTTGAATGTATGTATCTGTGGGGTGGTGATGTTGAGAAGACAAGAGTATAGTGTGAATGGTACTGTTTTGACAGGTTGTTTTTTGAGTGGCTTGGGATATGCTTGTTTTGTAAGCTCCTGTGCAATATGTAGGTCTTGTGTTTTATTCTCTTTCTGCTTCACAGCATTTATTGACCGTTTAAAATTATAACATGTATACATGATGCTTTTTTTAAATGGCATTTCATAAAATTTGCAATGGGAATAGAGGTGCATCAAACATGTTTTATCTACAGCTGGTATCCTCTTGTCTTACATGAACTTCATGGCTATGTATTAAGCTGAGTATTTTTCCATTACTTGTGAGTAATTATTGCACATTTGTGGCTTTCTGATCAGCCAAATGATATGAAATGAAAAGAATGTAATCTCAGTTGCCAAGGTAGTTGCCTTTAAGAATTTTGTTTACTATTATTGAACATTTCCAGAAATGCCTTTTACAATGAAATACCAGCTTCATATATTTGGTAAGGAAGGATTGAACTTGTCAAAGAGAGAAAGAGGGCTATAAAAATAGTGCACTTTTTAGGATGCTTCATTTGTACGGATGCTGGCATGAGTATATGATTATAACTCATAACAATCTTTGAGAATGGTGTTCGTTTCATGAGCGGTAGACCGATATGCTGAAGTAGTTTCTGTCAAGAGGGGCCCCTGCTGAGCTATGCATGTTGAGTATTATTTGTTACTTCTGTCTTGTTTTTATCCATCTTTATCCCACCTCTATAAGTATTTAGGGGTTTGACTCTTTCACATTATATTGAGTATAGCTGTATTTGATGCTGCATTTACATAGCTAATTACTATTAAGCTGTAAGGAAATACTGATTGCAGCAAGTGAAGGGAAAGAATTGATGATCTACAGTGTGTAGTGCAACATCTCTATCTGTTCATGCACTGAATGTATTTCTTTCCTGCTATTTTTTTCTCTTTCATGTGAGACTGATTTTAACTTCATTTCCCTTTCGTTCTTTTGCTCACGGCGTCACTTTTCGCCCGATTCTGTTACTTTTAGTTAGCGTGACTCAGCAGCCCGCCTGAACTCCCCGGCTCGGGGTCACGGGGTTAATGAGCCCTGAAGCGATTTGCCGGTGTCGGTCAGGAAGTTCACATTTTTGATTATGTTTAAAACGATATAACTTCTTCCCCGTCCCACATAGCAAACCATTACGCGGATGTACTAAAAGCTCCATGTCTTGAGATTTATTCTGCGTTAGAATGGTTAATTTCTGTGCCTTTGTTTTTGTTCTAGACAAGTGTTTGTAGAGTACCCAATTTGTTTTATTTTAGTTACAAACTTATGAATAAATGATTGTTAATTTTAAAAAGGCACAACAGATCTCTCCAAAATCTATGTTTAACTGACTTCGAATATCATGTCTTTTACATTGTGAAATCTTAAATCTGCACGAGTAGTAATAGTTAAGTTATAAGAGAAGAAAGATGCACATCTGCATTTTTTAACTAAAGACGATCAGCGTTAGCTCTTATTTTACTATTAAGCAAGAGAAAGTTACTCTGCATTTGTTCATGAATCATGCTGTGTCTGTGGCAGCCTGCATATAACTAAAAAGATATAATACAAGCCATTAAAAAACCCACAAAACCATGTAAATACATGGGTAGAGATAAACTTTTTGTATGGAATAAAAATAATGACTGCTAAAACATTCATTCTTAGTTTTTGTGTAGGAAATATGCGCGGACACAA